ATCGGAATATGATGCGAGCTGGAAACTTCAGGGCGAGGCGAATTCATAGAGGCAGATTCCCAGGCTCCAAAGATCGGCCACTGTGGTGTGCCCCTGCAATGCGAAGCACTAAGACGGCTACTTGGTTCCTGAATGTTTTGACACGTTGCAAGCTGATGCAAATAGGCCTTGCCCAAGATCATCTCAGGGGCCATGAACATGGGAGTCCCCTGACCAGCCATGAAGGCCAGCAAGCTCATCTACATGAGAGTGAACAAAGCTTGGCAGTATCAATTGAATATGGGTGCGGAATTATTTTGGGAATGCTTTTTCGGATTGTTTTTGGTCCGGGCCAGTAAATTTTCGTATTTTACAGCATTTTCTCGCGAAATTGACGCATGTTACACTAGCCCGTCAACATCCCCAGCATCGTTTTCAACATCCCGCATGTCCGACCAACATCCCTAGCATCACCAACAAATCGTGGGTAACAAAATCCAAAAAGTAGCTGGCGGGTTGATGGGGTCAAAAAATAATGATTCAATCAGGAGGGCATTTCAATCCCAGAAAAAAAAGAAGGAAACAAAACGGGGGGTCCCCCCCCCCATGATGGTCGCAGAAGTTATGATTCGTACAGGCTCTGCAAAAAGTCTAAAAACTAGAGGGGGGGGGTTGGGGGGGGCGGCAGCCCCCCCCATGATGTTCGAAGAATTGATGATTCAACTAGGAATAAATCTCTGTAGAAAATCTAAAACACAGCGGGGGGGTTGGGGGGGCGGCAGCCCCCGCCCCCATGATGTCGGAAGAAGTGATGATTCAAGTAGGGGTGCAATGATTCAAGAAAGGGTGCGATAGAATTTAAAAGGCAGCGGGAGGGTTGGCGGGGGTGGCTTCCCCTATGATGTTCGAAGAAATGCATACATACAGACATACATGGATTACACAGATTACCTAAAATGTCGTATTTTGCAGCATTTTCTCGCGAAATTGGACGCTCGAAAAAGTGATGAACAGGGGTGCAATTCAATCTCTGCAAGAAATCTGAAAAGTAACGGGGGGGAGGCGGGTGATGTTTGAAGAGTTGATTCAATTAGGGGTGCAATTACTCTGCAAACAATCTAAACAGTAGCCATGATGTCCGAAGAAGTGATGATTCAAATAGGGTGGTGGTGATGCTGATGATGCGGGAAGCCAAATCCAAAAGCCAATGAAAGGGCGCAAAAGCCAAAAAGCCCGAAGGATGCGAAAAGCCAAAGCCGCCAAAAGCCGCCAAAAGCCGCATAAACCAGCGAAAGGCCGCAAAAGCCAAAACGCCATCTGCCGAAGAGGAACTGGGAATGCAGAGGATGCGATCAGCCAAAAAGCAACCGCATAAGCCAGCAAAAAGCCGAGAAGCCCAGAAGCCCAGAAGCCGAGAAGCCAAGAAGCCGAAAAGCCAAGAAGCCAAGAAGCCAAGAAGCCAAGAAGCCAAGAAGCCAAGAAGCCAAGAAGCCAAGAAGCCAAGAAGCCAAGAAGCCAAGAAGCCAAAAAGCCAAGAAGCCAAAAAGCCAAGAAGCCAAGAAACCAAAAGCAAGGAAAAATACCAAAACAAAACGAGAAGAAAAAAAAGAAGAACAAAAAACACCTCCATTGAATATCGCGCCTTCAGAGGGCCATACCTCGTGTTGGTGATTCGCCGGGCAATTCCGAAGTCGATGATTTTCAGGTAGCCCTCATCCCAGCACAAACATTTGTCACAACCATTTCTGTCTTGACGCCTGCCTGCTGGTCAATCAGACAGTTCTCGCTCTTCAAGTCCAAGTACGCGATGCCTTAAACACACGAGAAGTGGGAAATAACGGGAAAATCAAATTCTGGGGCTGGAACGGCGCGCGTGCAAAAACTCCAGCGCTAAAGTTATGCACCCGGTGTAGAACAATGCCTACCAGGGCCACAAGACCCAAACTTCTCGCCCTTCCAAATTAGTGACAAAAGGCTGCTGACACTTCGAATGGCTTCGAATGGCATCTCATCTCATGTGCTTGCGCGCCGAGGGCAGCAGAGATTCGTGATTGTACGATCAGACATCCGACCCTCAACGTAAAATGAGTCCGACCCTCATTTTTCGCGAGAACTTGTTGGTGCTCAGGTGAGGAAGGTAGCAAACAGAGAGCACCGCATTGTGCGCAATGAGCGGGTTCACGCGCTTGGTCCGTGCGCGTTACTGGCGCTACGCTAGACAGAGGAGCATTATGACGTTGACGTGACATGCAATCGCGAAGTCTCCTCAGATGGGAATCTGTTTCATTTGCGTCGGCTGAAACCGATCTATCTTCCAGCAGACCGCTTCACTTAGAAGTCTCCAAGTAACCGAAGCATCGGCGGGAGGATTCTTTACTCCTGCACCATATGAGAACTGCTCCTCACCCCTTCCAGCCATGACCGCAAAGACAAGGGAACCGCACGGATGGCAGCTGTCCGACGAGTGCTGCCTCTCGGAGTTTGCGCGTCCGCGCGACGAGCTGCGCTTGGCCCTGCGAGCGCCCGGGACATGCCCTCTTCTCCTGTGCTGGAGCCTCTCAGGCTTGCCATCTGCCTGGTTGCTGTTCAGGCTGCTGGCCAGGCAATGATGATGCAAAGCCCCCCCAAAAGCGCCACAGAAAACAAGGCGGGTGGAGAACATTGACAAACATGTCACCGTGGAAAAGTCAGGTCAAACAATTGCAAAAATGGCAGGTATGCTGGGACGATCTCCCAGTATCACCACTGCTGGAAAGCATGTTTTTGGTAGCAGACTCGCTATGCTGCTCCTGGAATGCTTCGCTGCGTACGCACCAAAAGCTCAAGCGGCATACCCAGTGGCACAAGCACCTCTGGGCCTGCATAAAAAGGCCCCAAATTGTGCAATGTTGCGTTCTCTGGCAATAACTCGTCTGCTGCTTGTCAGAAAGCCTGATTATTGACACTGGTAAGGCAAGCGTGGCTGATGGTTTTGATTGGAGGCTCGTGTTCGTCATTGACCGATTGAAGTGTCCTATTTTTCGCAATGTCTTGGGACAATTTGCCGATCTTGGGATCAGTCCCTACTGAACGGAGACAAAATTGGTTCACGCACAATCCCAATCCCATCACTGCTGCGTTCCCGTGCTTGCACTAATCTCTTCTCCGCTATTGACCGATGGCAACTCAACGAGCCACGCGGCCACGGCAGTCGCCTGGTTGTACTTCAGAAGTCCAAGAGAATCCAGGGCATCCAGCAGTTCGCCGCCACTCACCAACTCCATCAAGAAGTACACATGGGTCCTCGGCTCTGCCGAAAGGCGTCGAAGAAAATGTTGCCAGTCAACCCCAATTCAGCTACAGTACCAGCTTGCAGTATTGCTTGAGTTCATGCAAGCAATCTTGTGTGCCCCAAAAAGAGGCCGGGATATTTGAGAGCCGCGCTTATTGCGGAAAGATCGCACAAACTTGATGATGAAAGGGTGATCAACCTGACAACACGCTCATGGGCATCTCCAGCACTAAGTTTCAGATTAAACCCCTGCCTCTTTCAGGATGCTCAACTCTGATACGAGTGCATCTTGAACATTCTTCTCCACCACATCGCGCTTGCGCACACACTTCAATGCATACCTCCAAACAGCTAAACTCTCATGCCAAACTGCAAAGAACTTGCGGCACCCGCCTGACTCCCGTCTTCTTTGCCCTCACCATCTTTACAACGCCAAATCCCCCTCGACCGATGACGCGCACAAACCTGAGGAAAGATGTCAACTACCAAGGTGAAGGCCTGTGCAATCCATGCTACTGGCCATCATGCAACTCGCACAAGAGAGGCTATAAGTCACAGGCTCCAAATCTTGGAAGGTCAGGTTCGTGTCCTAAAAGCTTTGAAGGGTATATCGGTATATCACATTGTCCCATACGTGCCAAGTTGGCTTGGAGTGGAGATTGCGCTTGATGTCGCAGGCACATGCAAATGAGCTAGCGCCAAAAGTACTTGTCTGGGGTGTAGTCATTCTGACATTAGGTTTCCCGTATCATGTTTCGGGCTGTGTTGTCAGGTGTTGGGGTATCGTCGTTTTGGACGTCCCGTATCGTTTTTCAAGAAAACCAAAAAAACATGTGCATGAAGCACTCCTTCATAAAGTAAATGACGGTTTTTTGAAGCTGACTCAAATGCGCCTATTTGAAAGTCCTGCAAAGAGATGCGGTCTTTCAGGTAGTCCAAGCAAGGCCCCTGCCTCATCATGCACAACGGAATTGTGCAAGTCATGACGCAAGACAGGCCCTGGGCATCATTTCTTGGAAAGTCTCTTTGCCCATCTTCCAAAGCTCTGTATCCTGCACACTTCAAGCATCCAGGTAAATGATCTCGATATTGCGTCCTCCAAAGCTGCTATGCTGGCGCTTCGAATCTCGCTGCCCAGCAATGCCCGTTCGCCAAAATAATCTGGATCGCCCAGCCTTAGACAGTGCGAAGACGATCGATCTCGACTGAATTGCCAAAGACAGCCAGCGCAACTCGAGGCTGTGGCCGGCGTTTCTCGCGACCATCGATTTCGACACTCACAGCACCCTTTCGGATGATGTAGAAATGCCTCATGTACCACGGCAGCTGACTGTCATCCCAGAAGAACTGAATCTAATCGGGAATCGCACGTCCCTTGGTCACCTTGTGAGAACACCTAGGCTTGTACTGTGCTTACTGCGGTGTCGTTCGGAGGCGTGACAACCTCTTGGGCCTGCACGCGAATTCCCTTCTCCACAGTCTCAATTTCCAGCGCGTCAGCAAGTCCTAGCGGCCATCCGGCATTCGGCAACTCAAGCTGAGAGAAGTTCCGGTGAAACTGCAGGTTCTGGCAGGAAAACATAGGTCTAGTGACTGCCGACTCAGGCTGCTGCGCTTGAGCTGCTGCTTGGAAAGAGTGGCAAAGATGAAGACGGATTGAAGACTGCGCACCTTGGCGCAACGAACTCCAAAACCATCCTTCAACGGGATGGATCCAAGCTCAGATCCGAACCTTACTATCCTGCTCCACTGCTCCATCGAAGTCATCAAAGGCGAGGATGCTTTCCAAATCCTCTTGTGCATCTACGGCATCAGTCCGTCGCTGTCCGGACTAGCACATTAGCAGCCCCTTCCACGGGTGGGCATTGCCACATGATACACAAGCGGTCCTCCCTTTGCCATACGGCCAGCTTGGAATCAGCCAGAGCTTTTATCTTTACAGCTGACCTTTGCCATCAATCTCTCAGCTGATTGAGCGCAAAGCACTCGGCATGAGGCGCAGGCTGATCAATGTAAGGGATGCTGAACATGGTCGGCCTCTCAGCGTGCGGTTGAGTTGTGAAAGAGAAAGAAAACGTGTTTGCCACCTACACTAGCCGGAGATGCTCTGGGGATCCAGCGATGCTCCCATCAAGCGCTGCGTGCCGATTTCATTCAGCATCCTCAGCGTGGTGGCACTGACATGAGCTCTGGCAACAGCCAAGGCTTTGACAGCTCCACTTCTCCATTCAAGGCCACGATCACTCGGACATCCTAGGGTAATGTCAGTTATGTCCATGAAAGCCCAACAAGTTGGAGACTGGAAACCAGCCTCCCAGTCTTGCTCAGAACCTGACACGAACACCCACCTATAAGCTAGCGCATTCTGGGTCCAGCAGATAGCAGTCCAGCCTTTTGGAAGGCACCGAATCTGACAGGCGCTGGCAACCGCTTCGCGATGCTCTTGATGAAGTCTTGAGAAGTCCTCTCCAACTGTGCGTGCTAAGGGAGTTTGTCTCTGCTCCTTCCTGGTGCTTGGCCAGTACATAGAGCACCCTGTGCTTCACCAGCACCTTGGCACAAGAGCACCTGCCTGAAATGCTGTGCCATATCTCAGCAACAGGGGAAGTGGGCAACACAAGCAAAAACATCATCTACCCAATACTGCAACGTCATGCAACTGGCCTGCTGCAGCTGGTCGCCAAAGATGTTGTCGAGCAAGCTGCGCTTCAGCACCAACACCCTGAGGTGCGTGTGCATGTGTGTGTGTGAACGTGTGCGTGTGTGCACGCGCGCGTGCGTGAGTGTGTCTGCGTGTGTGGCTTGCTTGCTTGCTCGCTCTCGCGCTCGTTCGCTCGCCGGCTTGCATGCTTGCTTGCTTGCTTGCTTGCTTGCTTGCTTGCTTGCTTGCTTGCTTGCTTGCTTGCTTGCTTGCTTGCTTGCTTGCTTGCTTGCTTGCTTGCTTGCTTGCTTGCTTGCTTGCTTGCTTGCTTGCTTGCTTGCATGCTTGCATGCTTGCATGCTTGCATGCTTGCATGCTTGCATGCTTGCATGCTTGCATGCCATGCTTGCTTGCTTGCTTGCTTGCTTGCTTGCTTGCTTGCTTGCTTGCTTGCTTGCTTGCTTGCTTGCTTGCTTGCTTGCTTGCTTGCTTGCTTGCTTGCTTGCTTGCTTGCTTGCTTGCTTGCTTGCTTGCTTGCTTGCTTGCTTGCTTGCTTGCTTGCTTGCTTGCTTGCTTGCTTGCTTGCTTGCTTGCTTGCTTGCTTGCTTGCTTGCTTGCTTGCTTGCTTGCTTGCTTGCTTGCTTGCTTGCTTGCTTGCTTGCTTGCTTGCTTGCTTGCTTGCTTGCTTGCTTGCTTGCTTGCTTGCTTGCTTGCTTGCTTGCTTGCTTGCTTGCTTGCTTGCTTGCTTGCTTGCTTGCTTGCTTGCTTGCTTATTTGTGTTTGTTTGCTTGTTTGTTTGATTGTTTGTTTGTTTGTTTGTTTGATTGATTGTTTGCGTGTGTTTGTTTGTGTGTTCGTGCTTGTGTTTGTGGTTGTGCTTGTGTGTGTGTGTGTTCGTGTGTTCGTGTGTTCGTGTGTTTGTGTGTTTGTGTGTTTGTGTGTGTGTGTGGGTAGGTGAGTGGGTGGGTGGGTGGGGGGGTAAGGATATGGCATAGTGTTTCATTACATTCCAAACCGATAGATTTCAGAGTACATTGCTTAACATGTCGTATTTGTTCAGGCTTTGCCATTACAACATGATGCATACCTGCACACTATGCATACATCCCATGCGCACGTCCATACGAAACATATCAGAATACCGTGTCGTGATGCCAAGCGAGTAGACAAATGGCATTGTCTGCGGATTCCTGACTGAACGCAACTAGCATCAGCACTTGCGGGCCCAAATCCCAACCCCCGGGGTCAATGCTGTCGTTGGATTCTGCATACAACTGTGTTAATTCATAACTTGATCTACTCGACTACTTTAGTTCCCACCATGCACGACTGTGTGTGTGCTTAATGCTCACGACCAAATTTGAGGTGCGAATGGGCCTCTACGCGTCGGTTTCGCAACCCATCCTTCCCGGAGGCGCTACTACATTGTATACAGTACAGTACATGTCATTGTATTGCATATGGTGGACATTGCGTTACATTCCATACTATTGCTTTGCATTGTGTTGCATTGCACTGCATTGCTTGCGTTGCATTGCATGGCATTGTGTTGCATTGCATTGCGTTGCGTTGCGTTGCGTTGCATTGCATTTCATTGTGAAACGAATGATATCGGGTTTCCTTGTCCAAATGGCGCAAAGCCGTTAAAAGGACTAAAGGTACGGTACGTAGTCGCATAACGTCTCCGCACCAGGACGAGAGTTTGGACCTGGAGGAACCTCTAGGAAGCGGGCTCGACTGCAGTCTCAGCCTTCAGAGTAGTTGGCTGCTCAAAGGGCAGCTCGTCCTGGGAAGCAAATGCTCAATGCGCTTGGGGGGCCTCTCCACGGGACAAAAAGAGGGAAAGTCCTCGAAGACCAGCGCGCGGTCGCCCATCAGGTGGAACCTGAATCCACGGGAAAGATAAAACTCAGTGCAAACAGCCAGGGTCAAAGTTGGGTTTGCATGGCAACTGCCACGCCTTGGAACGACTTCCATATCTTGCCCACGTGACCTTGGCTTCATTGACAATTGAGGTTGGCTGGCACTTCGAGAGGGAATCCGGCCAGGAGTGTACCATACCGCTGTACAAAATGAGTACCTGCGACAAGAGTGCTCTCTCCTCAAAGCTTTAAATGAGCTCAATCGGAAACCAATCATCTGGAAGGGGTCCCCGAGTTTTGACTTACAGCCATTGGTGCCCGGTGCTGCTAAACAACCCAAACTAAACGGCCTCATTGGGCGAATCTCCTTCTTTCAGGATCACATCGCCCTTCTCGAAGCTCCTCATCTCCACCTGCGCGCGCCTCATGCCTCATGCGATCTCATGCAACAGGTCCCCTTCCCCGGCCTGGTCGTACAGGCTCTGAAGCTGATAGCCATTGAGTCCCGCCCTCGTGGCCATCTAGCTTGAAGTGTCCGAGTGGTCAAATCCGACTAAGCAGCCGGCAATACTTCGCAAATGTTCGACTTCATCACCTGCACCACCCAAAGATCTGGATAAAACACATAGCATGCAGTTCTGAGGCGGCGCTTGGTTGAGCGGTGCAGACTTTTGAGTCGACTGGTTGCTGCTTCCGCGAAACTTTGCGCTGGACCACAGGTTTTGCGTGGGCCCAGGTTCTTGCTTGTTCGTGCAAGCCAATTACGTACAGCTTATGCGGCGCAGCCTTCAACTCGCAAATTGCAACTTTTCATTACAAGTGTAGTACACAAAGTATCCCCCAAACCAGACCTATGCAAAAGCATCAAACGAGAGGTTTGGTGGGGCTGGCGCAGCGCTAGTCGTACCAACAAGCCTTGCGCGAGCTTACGCACCCAGCATGTGTTCTTGCGCGAAAGCACGCTAGAAGAACCGGGTCTCCAATCTTCACTGAGGGTTTTGGGCGCTACTCAGTTGATGTGTGATTTCCAGTTGGTGGCTTGAATTCATGATTGGTGAGTCTGCTGGTTCTAACGATTGTGGGCACCCTGTGCCTCGTCGGTAGCTTCCACGATGGACAGCCTCCTCTGCTCGTACTGCTTGCTGAGAAGCTCCCGTACCTCCGTCTTAAGTCTCGATGCGCGGCTTTGTTGACCCACGCTCTTGAAATGATTGTTTGTTTTTCTTACTGGCACTGGCGCAAAGCAGCTTTTGACGCATTTGCACAAAGCTTAGAAGCAGACTTGCATGCCTTCCATGCCGTAAGCTCGCGCGCCTGCGTGATGGATGACGGGCTGGCACCATTGGACAAACAAGAACAAAACGAGCCATGGTCAACACACTAATACGCTGTTCGCCGCAATAGACATGGGACAACTAGTGAGTTCTCCAGGCTTTTGTGAGCCATCCAGTGAGTCTCCCACGTCCCTCTAAATCGACCATTGACTAATTGATCTTTCGACCCGCACATCAAATGTACTGATACAGCTCAAGGTCTGAAGCGCGCACATCCTTGAGCCCCAACCTCGGTGGAAGGTAGGCTCTGCTAAGAAACATTGCAACTTGCGTCGTATCTCAAAGCACATGGCCGTTGCAGTGCGCTCTCCGAACAGGAGAAGGACGCTTTCTCCAAAGGAAGTACCGGGCCTGGCGACGGACATCTCACATGGTTTGACAACCCATCTCGATGTGAGTCGTGAGGCCCCTGCCCAATGTAGCAATGAGCAATGTTGTCTTTGAGAACACAGAACTCGCCCTGAGCAACGACGAAGAAGTGCGTACCTGAAACATATTGCGTGCGTGCGGTACCTGATTGGCATGGCATGTTTGAAGCCATGCAATTCAACGACAGGTCAATGCTGGAAATTCCTTCGCTGCAGTCAAGTCTTGCTCTAGCTCACTAGAGTACCGGACGGGTCGGCCGCACATGTCACCTTCATGATGCGCACCATCTGTGTCACCCTGGCGGACAACCTTCTCGCCGTGCTGAAATTCGTAGACTTCCATCGCCTTTTTGGCTGCACTCGAGATCGGGCTCAAGGCCTTTGTCAACAAAGGAATGGACATTCCTTACACGAGGATTGTTGGCATCCTCAAGGCTGATGCAAATGCCCGTCATCGTGTGTCGTGCAGCAGTAGCCCACATCACTTTGGACGTGAAGGGTTGCGAAATCCATGTACTCTTGTTTGACCCTCTTACCTGCCTGAAAATGGGCTAAGCGTTGTGTGACAGCTGCCCGAGCGGCTGAACGATCGCAATTGGCCAGTAAAAGATATGTCCGGAACACCAGCCTCAATCAAGCCATGCAAGGCATCGTCATCAAACGTCTCAAAGAACACGAGGTTGCCTAGGCAAAGAAAGCTGCAATCAGCTATATTCTGTCACTCACAAGCTGCATTTCCCTGGGTGCTAAATTTATTGTGCTCGGTAAACAAAAATAAGCACTAAGTCGTGACTGGTGGCTCTAACAGGGGTCAATGGATCTCCCGTTCAAACATTCATCAATTTACAAACGGTCTCGAAACTGCCACTTCTGAAGCTTAAAACGAAGCCCAAAGACCCCGTAGCTCGAGCGAACATATCGTCAATCCAAGGTCGCAGGCGCAAGGTGTTGCGCAGCAGCTCTGTATCTTTCACAGCCCCACCCACCTTGGAGAAGCCCAGCCCCAACAAGCCAAAAAGAACAAACAATAAGAAACTGCCAATGTGATGCTTGTGATTGTGTTTTGTGGGTGCATGTGTGCGCGTGTGTGTGTGTGCGCGCGTGATGAGGTGTATTGCTTGTGTGTCGTGTTCATGTCTTTGCTTTTGTGTGTGTGTGTGTCCTTGTCTGTGTCTGCGTCTGTGTGCATGTATCTGCGTCTGTGTGTGTGTATGTGCGCATGTCTGTGTGCATGTTTGCTTTTGTCTTCGTGTGCGTGTGTGCGGTGCGCGCGTGGTGCTTGCGTGCGCGGGCGGTCGGGTGGGTGGGTGGGTCTGTGTGTTTGCGTGCCTCTTTCTCTCTGTGTGCGCGTGTGGGTGTGTGTTAGTGTGTGTGTGTGGGTATGTGTGTGTGTGTGTGTGTGGGTGTGTGGGCGTGTGGGTATGTGTGTGTGTGTGTGTCTGTGTGTGTGTGTGTGTCTCTGCGTGTCTGCGCGTTGCGTGCGTGCGTGCGTGCGTGCGTGCACGCGAGCGGACATGCGTGCGTGCGCGCTCGCCTGCGCGCGTGCGTGCGTGCAGGTGTTTGTGTGTGTGTGTGTGTGTGTGTGCGTACAGGCGGCCGTGCGGGCGTGCATGCGTGCGTCCGCGCGTGCGTGCGTGCGTGGTGCGTGCATGCGTGAAGTTGTGCGCAGGCGTGCGTGCACGTGCGTGCGTGTGTGCGCGTGCGTGCGTGCGTGCGTGCGTGCGTGCGTGCGTGCGTGCGTGCGCGCGTGTGTGACTCTGTGTGTGTGTGCTTGTGTGCTTGTGTGCTTGTGTGCTTGTGTGCTTGTGTGCTTGTGTGCTTGTGTGCTTGTGTGCTTGTGTGCTTGTGTGCTTGTGTGCTTGTGTGCTGGTGTGCTTGTGTGCTTGTGTGCTTGTGTGCTTGTGTGCTTGTGTGCTTGTGTGCTTGTGTGCTTGTGTGCTTTGTGCTTTTGTGCGTTTGTGTGCGTGTGTGCTTTTGTGCGTTTGTGTGCTTGTGTGCTTTTGTGCGTGCGTGTGTGCGTGCGTGTGTGCGTGCGTGTGTGCGTGCGTGTGCGCGTGCGTGTGCGCGTGCGTGTGCGCGTGCGTGTGCGCATGCGTGTGCGCGTGCGTGTGCGCGTGCGTGTGCGCGTGCGTGTGCGCGTGCTTGTGTGCGTGCTTGAGTTCGTGCTTGTGTGCGTGCTCGTGTGCGTGCTTGTGTGCGTGCTTGTGTGCGTGCTTGTGTGCGTGCTTGTGTGCGTGCTTGTGTGCGTGCTTGTGTGCGTGCTTGTGTGCGTGCTTGTGTGCGTGCTTGTGTGCGTGCTTGTGTGCGTGCTTGTGTGCGTGCGCGCGTGCGTGCGCGTGTGCGTGCGCGTGTGCGTGTGCGTGTGCGTGTGCGTGTGCGTGTGCGTGTGCGTGTGCGTTTGCGTGCGCGTGTGCGTGTGCGTGTGCGTGTGCGTGTGCGTGCGCGTGCGCGTGCTCGTGTGGGTGTGCGTGTGCGTGTGCGTGTGCGTGTGCGTGTGCGTGTGCGTGTGCGTGTGCGTGTGCGTGTGCGTGTGCGTGTCTCTCTGTCTCTCTGTCTCTCTGTCTCTCTGTCTCTCTGTCTCTCTGTCTCTCTGTCTCTCTGTCTCTCTGTCTGTCTCTCTGTCTCTCTGTCTCTCTGTCTCTCTGTCTCTCTGTCTCTCTCTGTCTCTCTCTGTCTCTCTCTGTCTCTCTCTGTCTCTCTCTGTCTCTCTCTGTCTCTCTCTGTCTCTCTCTGTCTCTCTCTGTCTCTCTCTGTCTCTGTCTGTCTCTGTCTGTCTCTGTCTGTCTCTGTCTGTCTCTGTCTGTCTCTGTCTGTCTCTGTCTGTCTGTCTCTGTCTGTCTCTGTCTGTCTCTGTCTGTCTCTGTCTGTCTCTGTCTGTCTCTGTCTGTCTCTGTCTGTCTCTGTCTGTCTCTGTCTGTCTCTGTCTGTCTCTGTCTGTCTCTGTCTGTCTCTGTCTGTCTCTGTCTGTCTCTGTCTGTCTCTGTCTGTCTCTGTCTGTCTCTGTCTGTCTCTGTCTGTCTCTGTCTGTCTCTGTCTGTCTCTGTCTGTCTCTGTCTGTCTCTGTCTGTCTGTCTCTGTCTGTCTCTGTCTGTCTCTGTCTGTCTCTGTCTGTCTCTGTCTGTCTCTGTCTGTCTCTGTCTGTCTCTGTCTGTCTCTGTCTGTCTCTGTCTGTCTCTGTCTGTCTCTGTCTGTCTCTGTCTGTCTCTGTCTGTCTCTGTCTGTCTCTGTCTGTCTCTGTCTGTCTCTGTCTGTCTCTGTCTGTCTCTGTCTGTCTCTGTCTGTCTCTGTCTGTCTCTGTCTGTCTCTGTCTGTCTCTGTCTGTCTCTATCTGTCTCTATCTGTCTCTCTGTCTCTGTCTGTCTCTGTCTGTCTCTGTCTGTCTCTGTCTGTCTCTGTCTGTCTCTGTCTGTCTCTCTCTGTCTGGCTGTCTGGCTGTCTGGCTGTCTGGCTGTCTGTCTGTCTGTCTCTCTGTCTCTCTGTCTCTCTGTCTCTCTGTCTCTCTGTCTCTCTGTCTCTCTGTCTCTCTGTCTCTCTGTCTCTCTGTCTCTCTGTCTCTCTGTCTCTCTGTCTCTCTGTCTCTCTGTCTCTCTGTCTCTCTGTCTCTCTGTCTCTCTGTCTCTCTGTCTCTCTGTCTCTCTGTCTCTCTGTCTCTCTGTCTGGCTGTCTGGCTGTCTGGCTGTCTGTCTGTCTGTCTGTCTGTCTGTCTGTCTGTCTGTCTGTCTGTCTGTCTGTCTGTGTGGGTGGGTGGGTGGGCGGGTGCGTGCGTGCGTAAGTGCGTGCGTGGGTGTGTGTGGGTGTGTGGGTGTGTGGGTGTGTGGGTGTGTGTGGGTGTGTGTGTGTGTGCGCGTGCGCGTGCGTGTGCGTGTGCGCGTGCGCGTGCGTGTGCGTGTGCGTGTGCGTGTGCATGTGCGTGTGCGTGCTTGTGCGTGTTCGAGTGCGTGTGCAAGTGCGTGTGCGTGTGCCAGTGCGTGTGGGTGTGTGGGTGGGTGTGCTTCTGTGTTTGTTTGTGTAGCTGCGGTGTGTGTCTGCCAGCCTGTGAGTCCGTGCTTGTCTGCTCTTATCTGGCCACATCGTTGCCTTGTGCCTCCGTTTAACGCGCCTGAATTGTCCTGAGGTCTGCACAATGTGATTGGCTAGATCTGCCTCTGGGTTCCCCCCATCCGCAGAACAACATCTCTCCAAGGCCAAAGGTACCTGAACCAGTTGTTTTGCGCCTTGTTGCACAGACAAGCCCGCGGCGCACATTCGCGTCAGTACTGCCCACACGGACCAAACGCTCCTCTCGAGCTTGCCGCTGCGCCTCTCAACGGTGTCAATGCCACGCATAGTAGAGAAACAATAGCGAATGGCCGAATGGCAAAGCAGCACTTCATTCGAGATTTCTTTTCTGAGCTGCAGACGTTCAACTTGACTCGCTCAGAGATTTCCCGCTCAATGCTCGACTCGATGCTCACCTCAAGAGTTGAAGACGAACAAGGCCTCGATCTGTGCCAACAGCTTGTGCCTGGCCTGCTTCACCAGGTTGCGATCCGTTGCCGTTGCAGGCGTCGGCCTTGACAGACCCTACGTGACATGTGCTTCCTGCCAGGTGGCATAGAGGACCCAGCTCCAACGAAGATGGCTTTGACCTGCACAGTGTTGCAACATGCCCAGTGCCAACGCCACATGTGCCAACTCCAGGATACTTTCGGGGTTAAAACGCCCCTTGTCAATCTGCCAGGATAATCAATCTGGGGTGAACATTCCGTACGCAGCTTGCCTTCGTCGTCGGCTGGAGCCGCTGGAGACGCTTTCAGCCCCAACCTCAAGAGAGTCACAATCAAAAATTGGCATCAAACACCTGCCCAAACCAATGTAAGATGATGAAAAAAGTGGCCGCACATGTCTATGGTTGGGTATGTTCCGGCTTCATCTACCAGGTCTTGATTGTGGCAGCCTGCTCAACTCTGTCTAGCGTGACTATCAGCGGATGGTCAACACTTCATCGCCGCAGCATCTTGCCTGCCTGTGCAGATGGAACGCTGACGTCGTACCCCCACTCTGCAGCCTTAAAGGCCAATCGCCGCGTCGTCTCAGCAGCGCCCTAAACCCGCAGAACACTTGAAAAAACACTCTGCTCACTTGGCACTCATAAAGGGCATGCTCAGAGCCGGGCAGACATAAACGGCGTGCTCATCCGAGAGCGTGGGTTCCGTGAGCTGGCGCTGGACACTGTCTCGGCCTCGCGCGAGGGTCAAGCCAAACAACTTCCATGAGGACCTGAACGAACGGCCCCTTTCCAGTATCAAGGTTTGATACCGCAGTTTCCCTCAGGCTCGGACATCGCTGGGTGGGTCATCAGGTTCAGAGCCTCCTCGGCTTCTAGCCTTGTCAAGTGTGAGGAATGCTCGCATTGCGGTGAGCCACACCAGGCATGGCCTCTTTTGACCTCCCGTTGCTCGCAGAGGCCGTCTCCGCGTGTTGACCGGCCGGCGATTCCGAAGTTGTCCTGGAGGGTGATTCAATGGATGCTTCTGCCGGCGAATGCAGGAGCCGCACCAATTGCATTGAGTGCAAATCACCCTTGCAGAAGAGTAAACTGCAATCCTGCTAGCGCTTGATGCACTCTGCCCTTTGGCCTCCTGCAAACACGCATCCCCACATCCAAATGGAAAGCAGTGAATCCGTGGAAAACGACTCGCCTGAAAGCGAACACACCGATCTTCGCCTTGCACTTGGGGAGCCTCGGCTGCACGGCAGAAACAGGAGCCATTAAGGTGCCATCAAAATCAGAGGGCTGCACCCAACTGGTTTGCTGTCGATCCCGCACTGATTTCAGGGGCAGCACATTCCTCACCACGACGGCCTCACAAAGCAGATGTTCACCCTGATCTCAGCTTGGGGATTACGAGCTCCTCATCTGATACAGGGGAAACGTTGTCGAACTCCACCAGGCTCGCTGGTCTGAAGCTGACGCTCCTAGCACGAGAACTGGGCAGAACATGACAGCTGACAGGAAGCATGTCGCACCTCACGTCGGGAGGGGCGTCAACATCGCCATTCCTGAACTCCCCGTGACTGAAATGTCGAAGCTGCTGTGAGCAAACCAAAGGGTCACTCAAACGACGAACAGCAAAGCGGCCACAGAAGATGTGTCGATCATCTGAATCTGGCTACCGTGGCGAAAGGGTTTGCTGTGCAAGTTTCCCTGACCATCGAGTTCCCATCAGTATATCAAAGCATCACACCGCAAAGGTCGTTAAAAGCACCACACTACCGCTGAACCCGGGAAGCTTCGGGGAATTCTGCAAGCGATGGCATGCTACTAAAGTGCTTGAGCCGTGCCAGTGGAGCCAAAATCTATTGGGCGCTGCTCAATTGGCCTTTCTTGGCGCCGAGCGTGTAGGGCCCAAGCGCTGCTGGAGCCTCGCAGAAGCGCACCCAATCGGAACTTGAAGTTCTGAATTCTGCCATTGCACACAGCCGATGGTTGTAGCACTTCTGATAAACGTATTGCAATGAATGGCCTCCACCATTTCCTGACCGAACTGGTTGAAGTGGACTGTGCGATTCTCTCTCATTGATTCATCCTCCTGTGCTCCAAATGCTGGCTGTGTGGCTTGATAGAATCAGCACCTGGCTGTTTCCTAGAGTGGGGGCAGAACTAGTTCCCTCGTCACATCTGCTTAACAAGCCGCCCCCCTCCGATTTTGAGACACTGCCGCATGCTGCCAACGCCGTCTCTCCCTGTCCTTCACAAATGGTGTCGCGATTCTATCTCTTGCAGTCCGCCCCTCGCCAATCACAGGAATGGCCTGGATCAATTCATCTTGAGTATCAGGCTTAAAATGCATCATCCAAAAGACTGCTATCAAAACACGCTGCAAATTCAGGGGCCGCTTTGCGGGCCCTGCTCACAAGCAAGTCCTGCCTCCACATCTGCTGACGGGAGGATGCGCACAGACTTGGACCCTGCAAAGGTCTCCTGGAGACAATTGGCTCAGGCAGCCACCGGTCAAGCGCGATGGAGTTAGTGCCTCGAGGAGCTCGGAGCTCACGTGCGGCGTGGGCACCCTATGGCACGGTGCATGGCACGGTGCATGGTACGGTGCATGGGCAAGTTTCCACGCACGTTTGGCTGACCCTGACCTGTCTCTGCTTGCGCGCAGATGCTCTTTGCCAGACTCCAGCTCGACTTCCTGCAGCTCTTGTTCGCACGTAGCAACAAGCAATTATAAACTTCTCTTTTTTGCAAAACGCCTCAAACAAGAAGTCCTCTACTCTCGAGGATGAGGCAAAGTGTATCTTCGGCTCCTAGAGGTGGTGGAGGTATGCGAAGCTTGAATTCCGGTCCCAAGAAGAGTGACCCCATGTAGGCCCATATGTACATGGTTGTTCTTCAAAAGAGGGGTCCACAATTCTTGGACACCCTTCCTAAGCCTCTGCAAGAGTCTGCAAAGGTGCCTCCATGCAGTCTGCAGATGCGTAAGGAGTGGGAAGGCGATCGTGCACTGAGCGGGTCCCAACCTGCGAACTGAGACTGACCACGGCACATGCGCTCTCGTCTGCCACGCGCCCGCGACCCGTAAGCCCAGTACCGTTTGCACATGTCGTCCTCCGACTGGAGGCACCTACAAGTAATCACGTAGGGAATGCAAATGCAAAGTCTCTTTCGGCCTCTGCATGCACTGGATCAAAATGAACCGCACGGCTTTCCTCGACAGCGTCATCTTCCTCAACAATGCAGTGCTCACAGGCACTTGCCCACTACTGTGATTCACTACTGTGATTCACTACTGTGATTCACTACTGTGATTCACTACAGAAGTCATGACAGTGCAAATTTTGGCAGATGGTGCAATGCACTCTTTGTGCGTTTCGCTAGCTCATGCTGTCCTTGAAGTAGGGAGTAGCAATCCGCTCCCTCGATGAGCGGGGGTCCCCCACACCAGGAATGACCTTGCAGCATACTCAAAGCCACACAGATTGACACTCTTGCAAGTAAAAAGGAATGGCCTAGCCTGCACGTCTGCAGCAGGAAAGATGTGGACGGACTTGGCAAACCCCGCAAAAGTTTCCTTCAGAGTCATGGCGATGTTGGAAGCTACTTATGGCCTTGATGTTCATGAATGTCTGCTGCTCCTCGATCAAGTCGGAGCTCACGTGCGGCGTGGGCACCCTGAAGAATCATGAGTCATCCCGATATTGACTGGTTCAGTTGTTGCTCAAGCAAGAGCCCGGCCTGTCCCGGCATGCTCGCAAGTGATCTTTCACAGCCTCTACTTCAAATTCCTGGCTCGTGCTTGGCTTGCTCAAACCGTAGCCAGTTCACTGCAAATTGATCAAGGTTGATGCGTGGGAAAGCCTGGGCGCCACCGAAGGTAGGAGCTGGGCTCCGCCCTCTTGAAGAAGCCTGCGATATGTGCAGGTGTCACAACCAGAGCTTGGTGCCCGTGAGCACACTCACAAGGATTTGGCAGCGGTTTGCTCTTCGGTTGACACGGAAGCAAGGGTAAGGCCATACTCAAACCTGGGTTAAAAGAATCTATCCAAAATAGCGAAAAGAAACAAACGAGAATGCCACTTCGCAAATGGAGGTATAGCTGCATCGCCTTGGTTTCATCGAAGCTGTCCTCCCCCTGCGCGCGCACGGCATCGCCAAATACCATGCATCACTGCATCGATCTGCCAGCAATCTTGCAGACTTGTTGCCACGAAGCGAAAGAGAGGGAGAGAGAGAACAGAACAGAACAGAACAGAACACAAAGACAGACAGGCAGGCAGACCAACCGACACACATGAACGGAAGGACAAACACAGGCAGGCAGGCAGGCAGGCAGGCAGGCAGGCAGGCAGGCAGGCAGGCAGGCAGGCAGGCAGGCAGGCAGGCAGGCAGGCAGGCAGCCAGGCAGGCAGGCAGGTAGGCAGGCAGGCATGCAAACAGGCAGGCAGGCAGGCAGGCAGGCAGGCAGGCAGGCCGGCAGGCAGGCAAACAGGCAAGCAAACAGAGGGGCAAACAAATGTAAGGACAGGGACAGGCAGAGACAGACACCCAGCCAAACATCCGCGACTGCACGCCATCTCGCATCTCCAGCATCAAATTCGACGGCTGGCAAAATGATTGACTGGAGAAAATAATTCGCATGTTCACCTGGCTGAGCATTCAGCTCTCCAGGGCACAGAGAAGCAGACAAAAGAAACCCACGCCGAAGCAGCGTGTTTACATGTCAAACCTAGGAACTAGAAACCTATTTTACAACCATCTTGAGAGGAAACCACCCTGACGTCTGAGAGGTCTGAGTTCTGATAGAGACCCATGCGCGCTGACAACCACAGTCGAGCTCGGTCCTCTGCAGAGTTGGGAGCCATGTGCACCCGCTTGACATCATCAAATTGCTCCTTCAGGTTTCAGCAAGAAGCTGAAGCGCAGAATCATTCATGTAATTTCCTCCATCAGTTCTATCTTCAAATGAGGCGTTGGAATCCTGCCAGGAATAAATCAGGTGCGACATGCCGGGCACAACCAAAGCGGTCAAAAACAGATGCGGCCTGTCGCGGCTGCTTCTCAGCTGCTGGTTTTCACCCATCTTGGTCTCGGTTTCAAATTCCTGCGCTCTGAAGCTCGTTGCACAGCCAACACAGCCCGTGTGCTGCCCGGGTAAACTAGTTGCCATGGATGCCCCAAAGTCTCACTTTACACACGACACCGCAATGAACTTTGGTCCGCCAACCCCCTGACCCATGTCGCACGCCCAAAATCCCTGCTCCAGCTCTGAAGCGAGCCTGGACCTGAAGCGGTAACATTCCCCCACAAACCGGTCAAATTCCCCCTAGAAACCAGTCTAGCCCTTGAGGCCATAACATGCACCCGGCGCGTTTCGGTGCCGAATCACTCATTGAAGCAAACACAACACTTCAAGGCAAGCCAAAACACAGCACCTCAAAGCCAGCCAAAAGCATTTTGGCCGAGGCGGGCAACGCGAAGCGTTTACAATTAATAATACATGTAATCATGTATTTCATGTATTTGTGCCAATGGATTCACCAGCACTTCACTCAGCTTGCCTGTGTGCTTCCATCGTCAAATTGCACCGCGCTCTTGGCCAGCTCGTCACCCTGCAAGAATGAGGAGACAACAGCCACGCCACCAAATAACTGCATTCTCACTGCCCAGTCCTTGATGAATGGTGTTGCTATCCGATCTCTGCTGGGCCGACGCTCGCCCGAGACAGGCACGGCCTCGCGTGCGCAAAGAATGAGATTGGAAGCAGAGCAAACTTCCAGGCAAAGGGTTGTGCCAGGAGTAGTGCGGTTTGCACGCAAGATTGGGAATCTACCTGAAGGCCCAAGGCACGCAGAAAAGGCTAAGGTAACATGTGTCGATCACAATTTGCCAAACCAACACACAATCCTGGTTGCGAACTTCTTGAGCAGGGGTCTCTCTCTCTATATATATATATATATAGAGCGCGGGCCCACTGGCGTGCTGCCTGCTCATGTTCGGAAGTCCAATTTCGAAAACACATTTCGCTTAGTGTGGAATCGTTGACTGTCAGAGTTGATGCAAACACGGCCTGGTTTGCTTTGGTATTGGCACGCGCTTGCTTCGCAGCTACTTCAAGATGCCCTGGCCCAAGCGCTGGTCCAGGTTTATATGGGCTGGGGGGGAAGGAGAAGTGTTGCGCTGGTTCCGCATCTACGGTTTTCAGCGGCTCTGAGTTTTCCTGTGAATGTGGGAGGCGTGTCTTTTTTGACGCTACCCAGATACCCGTTCTTGTTTTGTTCACGCGAAACCAAAAAAGCTATTTGGGGATTGACACACCCATGTGTTGTCGCGTTCAATGTCCACTTTCCTTGTGCGCCGTTGTGTGCTTTGAGCTCCTGTGCATAGGCACCTTTCTTTCTGTAGTGTTTTCGAGTGTTTCCTGTTTGCCGCTTGCTGGCTTTGTGTTTGGTTGAGTTTGCAATGTGATGAGCTTGCTTTTTGTTGTCTGCGCTTTAAGCGGAAAAGCTGATGACTAGGGGACGAAAGCACGCCGCCATGGAAAAAGAGACTGTTTGGATTAGAGCACGCAAGGTGATGTCGGGGTGAAAGCCTTGTTCAAAGCGGTCAAAGCAATCGAAGCGAATACCTCCCCCCGCCCCCAAGGGTCGACAACTTGCCAGGCCTCGACGTCTACGTTGCCGGAAATACACACATGCTTGGGCGGCTCTTCCAATTGCTCCTTCAAGAAAATCACCAGCACAGAAGAATTCTCAACTTGGCTGCGGGACTCATACCCTTTTAACCATCCCTTTTGGGGAACGCAAAGGCGGTACAAGATGGTGCCAGGCTTCGAAAAGGGTCACGTATTTTGTCAACCTCCTGTGTCTTTGTTCTCACTGCCCAGTCCTTGATGAATGGTGTTGCTATCCGATCTCTGCTGGGCCGACGCTCGCCCGAGACAGGCACGGCCTCGCGTGCGCAAAGAATGAGATTGGAAGCAGAGCAAACTTCCAGGCAAAGGGTTGTGCCAGGAGTAGTGCGGTTTGCACGCAAGATTGGGAATCTACCTGAAGGCCCAAGGCACGCAGAAAAGGCTAAGGTAACATGTGTGGATCACAATTTGCTAGGAATGACCAAACCAACACACAATCCTGGTTGCGAACTTCTTGAGCAGGGGTCTCTCTCTCTCTCTATATATTATATATATATATATATTTAGAGAGCGCCGGCCCACTGGCGTGCTGCCTGCTCATGTTCGGAAGTCCAATTTCGAAAACACATTTCGCTTAGTGTGGAATCGTTGACTGTCAGAGTTGATGCAAACACGGCCTGGTTTGCTTTGGTATTGGCACGCGCTTGCTTCGCAGCTACTTCAAGATGCCCTGGCCCAAGCGCTGGTCCAGGTTTATATGGGCTGGGGGGGAAAGGGGAAGTGTTGCGCTGGTTCCGCATCTACGGTTTTCAGCGGCTCTGAGTTTTCCTGTGAATGTGGGAGGCGTGACTTTTTTGACGCTACCCCGATACCGCTTCTTGTTTTTGTTCACGCGAAACCAAAAAAGCCATTTTGGGGATTGACACACCCATGTGTTGTCGCGTTCAATGTCACTGTGTGCTTTGAGTTCTTGTGCATAGGCACCTTTCTTTCTGTAGTGGTGTTTGAGTGTTTGTGCTTGCCGCTTGCTGGCTTTGGTTGAGTTTGCAATGTGATGATGCTTGCTTTTTGTTGTCTGCGCTTTAAGCGGAAAAGCTGATGACTAGGGGACGAAAGCACGCCGCCATGGAAAAAAGAGACTGTTTGGATTAGAGCACGCAAGGTGATGTCGGGGTGAAAGCCTGGTTCAAAGCGGTCAAAGCAATCGAAGCGAATACCTCCCCCCCCCAAGGGTTGACAACTTGCCAGGCCTCGACGTCTACGTTGCCGGAAATACACACATGCTTGGGCGGCTCTTCCAATTGCTCCTTCAAGAAAATCACCAGCACAGAAGAATTCTCAACTTGGCTGCGGGACTCATACCCTTTTAACCATCCCTTTTGGGGAACGCAAAGGCGGTACAAGATGGTGCCAGGCTTCGAAAAGGGTCACATATTTTGTCAACCTCCCGTGTCTTTGTTCTCACTGCCCAGTCCTTGATGAATGGTGTTGCTATCCGATCTCTGCTGGGCCGACGCTCGCCCGAGACAGGCACGGCCTCGCGTGCGCAAAGAATGAGATTGGAAGCAGAGCAAACTTCCAGGCAAAGGGTTGTGCCAGGAGTAGTGCGGTTTGCACGCAAGATTGGGAATCTACCTGAAGGCCAGACGCCCGGAGCACGCAGAAAGGCCAAGGCAACCAAACCAACACGCAATCCTGGTTGCGAACTTCTTGAACAGGGGCATCTCTATATATATATATATATATATTTATTTATTTATTTATCATGCCGGCCCGCTGACGTGCCGCCTGCTCATGCTCGGAAGTCCAATTTCGAGGTCGGCAACGTCTGCACTGTTCACGTGGTGTGGAATCGTTGACTGTCAGAGTTGATGCAAACACGGCCTGGTTTGCTTTGGTGTTGGCATGCGCTTGCTTCGCAGCTCATTCAAAATGGCATGGCCCACGGGTTCCACATTTACGGATTTCAGCGGCTCTGAGTTGTTCCTTCGACTATTGTTTGTGTTTTGGGGGGGATTCCCCAAGAAAGACACACCCATGTGTTGTCGCGTGCTTCTTAAGCTTGTCCTGTTTGCATGGTAATTTATTTCTGTGCTTTAGCATCTGCGTAGTTCCTGTGCGTAGGCAGGCAGTCATTGTTGTCTGTAGTGTTTTCGTGCCGGCAGCTCGCTGGTTTTGTTGATGCTTGCGTTGGTTTTGCCTGTCTGCGCTCTAAGCGGAAAAGCTGATGACTAGGGACGCCGCCATGAAAAAAGAACTGCTTGGATTAGAGCACGCCAGGTGATTTCGGGGTGAAGCGAATACCCCCCCCCAAGGTCGACAACTTGCCAGGCCTCGACGTCTACGTTGCCGGAAATACACACATGCTTGGGCGGCTCTTCCAATTGCTCCTTCGGGAAAAATCACCAGCAAAACCGAATTCTCGACTTGGCAGCAGGACTCATGTGGGATGTTCACAAAAAGGTACCCACCTACTCCTCCCTTTTGGGGACCCCAAAGGCGGCACAAGATGACGCCAGGCTTCGGAAAGGGTCACCTACTTTGTCCAGTGATTCTCACTGTCCAGTCCTTGATGAATGGTGTTGGTATCCGATCTCTGCTCGGCCGACGCTCGCCCGAGACAGGCAGTGCCTCGCGAGAACAGACTTGCTCATCTTGCGCAAAGAATGAGATTGGAGAACTGCTATACAGTACATTTGCCTCGGACCCTTGCGCTTCCTGGGATCCCCCCCCCTTGTCTCCTGGTTGTGACTCTGCTCCAGCTGCCTCCTGCGCGGCCTTCACCTAGCCTTCAAGTTCTGTCAACCGCTTTGCGCTGCAGACCACCAGACTGCTCAGCCCAGCCGGCATCATAGCCTCAAGCCCGCATTGCTCTTGGTTCTTTTGAGCCTGGCAGCTTCGTCACGCTTTTCCTAAGAACACGAGTTAAGATTCAGGTCGTACACAACAGGGCTGACTCGGAAGTCTTTACGGATCCGCTGAAAAAGCAATGTGAAGAAGAAACCTTTTAATGCGCGCAGTGATTGCCATGAGCTTTCGCTTGAAGATGCCCACAGCTTGCACAGGGTCCGAGAAAGCAGATTTTGCACTGGCCCACACAGCAGGCTTTGACCCGGCGTGCTCAGGCTGTATCCTCGCTTGCCAAATGAGAAGCACACATCCTCACGCGCACGCGCACGAGACAATGATAGCGGCGCGCGCACACGCTGCCTCGCGCACAAGACAGCATCTGCGATGAGCACATACGCTCATGTGCATACGCGCGCGACAGCATTCGCTGCCCTGCCCAAATGATAAAACGCGCTCGTGCGCATCCCCCACAAGTCAACATCCACCCCTCTCAGGCGCATTCGGGTTGAATTATTCATTGCGTTGATACAGTACAGTTGTCAGTGTGTTGATACACTGGCCGATCTTGTGCTTTAGCAAGCTCTCACGGTAGTGAGGTCTCTGTTAGTGTTTTAGCCAGCCGCGCTCATTCTGAGTGCATGTCCGCATCCCACCAAGCAAGCAAGAGTCCTTTGTGTGAATTTGATATGGCTTAGATGCCGCGACATTCTGCCAAAACAATAGGTGTCTTTCAAATTCACCTTGCCAAAGAGGGCCTGCAGCTGCTTTAAGGCAGGGTCAAACATTGAATCTTCTGAGCACGGATCAAAAACAGAAGCACTTGAGTCGTTTCCCAAGGCCCAAATGGCCGCGTCTCCTCAGCAAAACGATAGTTTTCAAATACTCTGTGGGCGAAAAACAACATCCAATTCAAACTTGCGGCAGCTTGCTGGTTTTGAGGACTTGCGGCATGTTGCTGTTTGCTGGTCGTGTTGTATAGGGCCTGGTGCAAAGCGGAACAAGCGCTCCACTCAGAGTAGAGCCTTGAACAGGCTGAATAAAAACCCAACAGCTTGCCAGGCCTCGACGTCTACGTCATCGTCAATAGACACGTGCTTAGGTAGATCTTCTAGCGGCTCCTTCCAGGAATGCATCCCCGCAAAACAGAATGGCAGGCACGGCCGCGGAGTCGTGCGCCGGGAATCAAAGGTTAACCTTTTCGGGACCCGGTGGAAAGGTGGCGCCAGGGGCACCGCCGCGTCCTGCACAAAGGGAGTGGGTATCCTGTGCCGGCTGGGGCGCCGCTCACCCGAGACGGGCAAAGCCTGGAGAAGCTGCCGTCATCTCTCCCCAAGCTGGCGTGATGCAACTGACTCAAGCTGCGTTAAGGCGGTCTTGCACTGACAAGATGCTTCCGTTAAAGTATTAAAAGCAAGGGAAATACTCTGAACGCCATGCCTCCACATCTGCGGTAGGTGCAATGCGCACATGCTTGTCGGGTTCCTCCCAAATGGAGTCACAAGACAGTACACATCAACGCACAACTGTGCAGGTGTTGCAATCACTGCAGGCTTGCAATACGTGGCCTCAACCACATCCTTCACAAAAGGAGTAGGTATCCTGCCATCAAAATGCTGACGCATCTTCATGTAACATTGAGTGAGTCCTCTCGCGGCTTGGCCGGAGCATTGTGCTCGAAAGCACTGGTTTGATGCTGAGTTCCTGCGAGCACTGGCAACTACTCCGCTCTAACTCCTCTCCAAGCATCACGGCTAGGCAACGTATGAAGCTGACAAGCAGAAAGAGGGAAGTGTTGTATCCGATGACATACCAAAAGTCTTCAAGAAGTATCCCATGATGCTCCGTAAAATCAAGCATGTCGACATAATATCCCAGGAAATCCCGCGACATCCGACAGCATCCCTCATGTGATAACATTGCGCATGCCCCAAAGCAATCCACATCCCAAAACTGAGCGCTGGATTGGTAGGCGTAAGCGAAGCAGCACTTTTCAATATGTACCCTGCACTTTGACTCCTCCACAGCCCCGAAGGTTGGTGCTCGAGTCGAAGGCTTTGAGGGCCTTGCAGCCTGACATCTATCTCTCTCTGTGCACCCGAAATGGCCTTGCTCCGCACCTCGAAATGCACAGTGCGAGCTTCCTCAACTTCTTCCTGACACACCAACGCAGCCTTTGAGAAACATCTGCAAACGCGTAGATCTGGGTCCTGGATGAAAGGCGTGGCAATGCGCTGCCTAACTGAGCGCCCTTCGCCAGTCGACTGGATGGCCTGCAAGTGTAAAATACATTTCTTGTCGCGAAAAGGGGGCAGCAGCCTCCACATCTGCAGCTGGGAAGATGCGGACCGTCTTGGCCGAATTGGCAAAGGTTTCCTGCAAACACAAAGCAATGATTTGCTGCTGTCTCACGTTCAAGCTTCAGCCTCTATCACTTGCGAACTGACGTGCGGGGTTGGCATCCTCAGCACATCATGACATCCAACCATTGGGCCTTGTAAGATCGCTACAAGAAGGCAGGCCTGTCTCGGCTGGATCGAAATTGAGTTCTGCCACTGTCAGCCTCGAATTCCTGCGCAGAAGTCGTTCCACGTTACGCCAGTCGAGCTTATGCTCTGAAGTCTGTGGGCCCAACCTCGCACCACAAAGCAAGCCCAGCGAGAACCAAGGCTTGCACGTGGGCATCACCACACAACCAGGACATGCTCTCTTCATTGGAGCCAGTTCCACCCAAAACTTAATGTTGGTCTTCATCCTGCTCCCAGCAAATGTCGTGTTTATGTCTTGTTGCACTGGCAATGCATACACACGTGCGTGTCGTGCACACGCACAGTAGGTTACATGATCAGCTCCATGGCAGGGCATGGATCAACTCAAGTGCGCTTTCGCGCCTCCATCGTTTCTGAGCTCACGCGCGGTGTGGGAACCCTGGTGCGGGCACATCATCAAGTCCAGCTTCAATCTGTTTGATACTCTGCCTTTGACTCCGTACACATTCTATAACCCTAGCCAAGTCCTGTCTCGGGTAGTCCGCAATTCACCGTCCACTTCGATCTCCTGCAGCTCATAGCTGGTCGCACGGCACTGAAGACCGCGTGACTACACGTTCGCATCATCCCAGAAGGCGCAAGCACTGCTCCCTGGGACTCACACAAATCGCCAAAGTGGGTTCTGTCCTCCACTCTCGAAAGCGAAGCAAAGTGTGGATGCGGCTCCTGAAGCATGACGTGATGTCAATCAGTTGCTTAGATGGATGACATGCACTGTTGGCACTGGGACACCTCCATGATTTCTCCGGATGTGTACGGAGTGGGAGCTCGGTCACGCACTGAACGCGTACCAACCTGCAGTGGCATCACCTTCCGTGTATTGACTGCATTGGCTGTGAGGTTTGCCCGGGGCTCCGCACCACGTGCCGTCCCGTAATTGGACGCACCTGCGGATCGCGCGTGGGTGCCACGCACGTTCTCTGCTCAGCTCTATGCCTCTGATGGGACTGTGTCGAAATGAACTGCTCGACCTTCCTCGGCAGCTTCGTCCTGACACACACAAGGGTTCACAAAACTTTCAACATGCGCATGCACAGAGTCTTCAGTCAAGCGCACCGGTGCATGTGTGTGTGTGTGTGTGTGGGTGGGTGGGTGGGTGGGTGGGCGGGCGCGTGCGTGCGTGCGTGCGTGCGTGCGTGCGTGCGTGCGTGCGTGCGTGCGTGCGTGCGTGCGTGGGTGGGTGGGTGGGTGGGTGGGTGGGTGGGTGGCTGGGTGGCTGGGTGGCTGGGTGGCTGGGTGGCTGGGTGGGTGGGTGGGTGGCTGGGTGTGTGTTTGTGTGTGTTTTTGTGCTTGTGGTTTTGCTCTTGTGTGTTTTGTGTTTTTGTGTTTTTGTGTTTTTGTGTTTGTGTGTGCGTGTGTTTGTGTGTTTGTGTGTTTGTGTTTGTGTGTTTGTTTGTGATTGTGTGTTCGTGTTCGTGATCGTGATCGTGTTCCTGTTCCTGTTCCTGTTTCTGTTCCAGTTGATGTGTCCGTTTCTGTCTTGTGTTTGTGTTTGTGTTTGTGTTTGTGTTTGTGCTTGTTTGTGTGTGTGTGTTTGTGTTTGTCTTTGTCTTTGTCTTTGTGCTTGCGTTTGTGTTTGCGTTTGTGTTAGCGTTATGTGTGCTTGTGTTTGTATTTGTGTTTGGGCTTGCATTGTTCGTGTTTGTGTGTGTGTGCCTGCGTTGGTTATGCTTCTGTTTGTGTTTGTGTGTGTGCGTTTGTGTTTGCCTTTGCGTGTGCGTTTGCGCTTGCGATATTTGTGTTGGTGTTTGTGTTATGTGTGCTTGTGTTTGCGCTTTGTGTGTGTGTGTGTGTGTTTGTTGTTTGTGCTTGCGCTTGTTCTTGCGTTTGTGCTTGTGCTTGTCCTTGTATGTATGTTTGTGTGTGTGTGTGCGTGTTTGTGTGACAGTGTGTGCATGTGTTTGCGATCCAAATGCGGCGCTGCGAGCGATGCGTTGTTTAAGGCCCAAAGAGTCTGTACTTTGCTCAATTTGTGCTATTTCAGTTGGGGATAAACAGTTTGAGCTCGTCCTTGCTTTGAGCTATGTTCCTCTGATTCCTCATAGTCACACACACACACACATACAGTCGCTCACACACTTCTCAGCATCATCACCTTTGTCAAAGTGACTTGGAGGATTCAACGCACGTGTTTGAAACTTGTTTGTTCTGTTTGTGTTTTCCCCCGGAAATGCGCAAAGAGCTCGGGTGATGCTGCTGGTGTTTGGCCGTGGATGCCAACGCTGGCTTGGTAGTCTCTCAAGCTCCTGGTGCCTGTTATGATAGATTTGCTGTTGGATTGGAATGCTGGAGCCTCAAACGTTTTGCCCGCACAAACTCGTACCGGATCCAGTCGTCCCGTCTATGTTAATCCAACAACAAAAACAACAATCCCAAAAACCTGGAAACAGACAAAACGCCACCTACCATGGCTCGACACTGAACCTGCGCTTGGATCTTTGTCCTGTGTATTTGGTTGGATTTTCTGGATGCTGTTAATATACAAGTATTTGGCTCGTCTGGTCTAGTTCCGTGACAGGATCTTTGGTTCCTCAGCGCTGCTTGGGGAGTGTTTCGACTTTGTTTGCTGTTTGATGTCCGTGTAAGGGCACGCCGCGACCCAAAACCCAAGTAGCATTTGAGCTGCGTTCTGTTTCCCCTTGAACTTGATTGGACAAGCTCCAAGCTTCTGCGCACCCTTCCGCATATTGCTGGCGGGCCAGCAGGGTTCCTTCCGCGCGCTTCCGCGGTACATGTGCTTCATCATTCGCTTCCGTGTCCTTACGCGGCGTATGTTTTACAAGTGCTGCTTCCACGAGTAGTGTTCTTGGCCTGGTGTTGGCAACTGCTCTTCTAGTCAGCGTGACGCTTCCTGTATGCCTTTCTGCTTCTAATCGTTTCCCCATGCATTTCCATGCACGCAAACGAAAGCAGCTCATACCGAACCACAAAGCTTCCGGGAACCTTCCGCGAAGGAAATCCCTTCCGCAAAACCTTCCGCAAGCGTTCGCGCGTGGTGCGGTGCACATGTTCCAGCGTAGTGTTTCTCCCATACTTTTCAAATTGCGGCCAACAGCCGCTTGTTTGGGGAACCAAAATCGCATCTGAAACTCAATAAGCTTTGGGAAAGACCCAAAACCTGAACACGTGTCAATCTCGAGGCATGCAGTACACCTCTCATCACCGTCCTTGAAGAAGGGAGTTGCAATGCGATCTCTGGATGACCGAGTCTCTCCGACAGCCGGGATGACCTGAGCTCAACGCGAGATTTGACGCCTCCACGTCTGGAAAAAAACCAAGAGCCAAGCCTGCACGTCTGCTGCGGGCACGATGTGGACAGACTTTGAACCACCAAATGCTTCCTGCAATCAGTGTCAAGCCCTGATCCAAACACACTGAAGGCAAGGAGGTTTCTCCTCGATTGCCTGGCAGCTCACGTGCGGCGTGGGCACCCTTGGCAGCTTGCGTCTCCAAAAATACAGGATCCGCTGTGTACTGAGCAAGGGCCCCGTCCTATCTCGGCTTGCTTTGAAGGGCTCTCTCTCAGCTTCAACCTCGAACTCCTGGCTGGGGCAGCAGCATGACTCGCTGCGCAGGAAGCACTCCCTGCCTCCTTCCCTTCCTCACTCACTCATTCATTCACTCACTCACTAACTCACTCATGACGAACCAGTCAGCATTGTGCATGTGTTGTTCCCCTCGTGCCCCTTGTGCACAAGCATGAATCATTTGTGCTCACTAGGCTTTGCTTGTGGTTTTTCTGCGCAGCCTTGATTCAATGTGTCGTTTCGCGCTGCCCCACAGCGACTTGACCTCCACTCCGTCTATGAGGCTAGAATGGGGAGAAAAAGGGCAGCAACTACTGCAGGCCGGCATCAACTTCAGACAAGCTGAAGCGCGCGCACGCACACACACAAACATACACACGCACGCACATGCGCACACTTACACACACACACTTACACGTCGAAGGGATGGCAAATTGGATTCGTACCATCAGAAAAAACAACAGCAACAAACATCAGAGAGGTTAACATCACAACCGTTCAAAGACAAGTATGTTTTCTCCCCGCGGTGTCTGGTCTTCGTTGGCCAGGACAAACATCCATGAGTTCCAGGCCCATACAAGTTTGGCCTCTGGGAAAATCAGGGATTTGGCGCGCACACACACACGAACACACACGCACAAAATGCGATGCCAGCTGCTTTAAAGCTGAACTCTGCTCAGCATGGGTTGGCACGAGAAGAAAAACACATTTGGGCAAACAATGCAAATGGTGAGAGCATTGCAACATGGGAGTCGGAAGCAAGTGGCCATGTACAGCGTGGTCATGCGGCACACTGCCACAACAGCTCGTGCTAAGTTACACAGGGGTCACCACAAGAGAGCGTGCTGACACGAGGCAGACGTTTCCCAATTTGCGCAAACATTACAGCAAGGGTATTCAAGCTCTCCAAAGAAGCTTCAAAGTCATTTGAGGCCACAAACAATCGCATCAGTAAGCTCGGGAAACAATGGCACAAAAAACCAAGGAAACAGGAAACTTGCAACAAAAGTCAGAAACAGGATAAGGAGGAAAGAAAGTCGAAGAAGGGTGAGCAAAACAATGAAAATATTTTGCCACACACACACACGGTGTCATGGTTATCAGGGGAATCACCTACATCAAACAACCGGGCATCCATCATCACGACGCCAATTTCGTGTCGCTTGCTCGTGATGTTTGTTTGAAGCATTGGGTCGCCACATGGGGCATGTTCGACCTTTGTTTTGCATGAAAAAGCGGAAAGTGCAGCATCGCTGTGGTTCTATGCCCTTGCGCGCATGCCATCTGCTCGGTACAATGTGATGATGGGCTGGGCCAGTGCCGATTCAGAATTGGATTGTGGACGACGTAACATGACTCATCATGCAATGAGCCCTTTGGGCTATGCGCTGCGGACTATGGAATTCTACGCGGCTTGCGGCTTTCATGTGTACAACACTCTCCGGAAAGCGGATCCAACTTTTTGGACCCCGTGTGTTCAATTTTGCATTGCTCAGAAAAGCTCTGGCCTCGCTGCCACCAAAGGAAGGAGCCGTGCTGCGCCCTCTGGAAGAAGCCGGTGTGTCGAGCCATGCTTTCAGGTCAGTTGATGCCTCAGGCTGCGCAACCTGTTGCATGAATTCCAAGATGGGTTCTAGGGACATATATGGTCATGTGATGCAGCTGAACCAGTGCATTAGAACCCGTTTTGGTTCCTCTTATGGTCATTGAGTCATTGTGTACATCGAGCGCACCTTCCTGTCGTCAGAGACGTCTTCATCCTGCCAGCGTTGGGCAAAACTTGGAGGCATGCATGGGATTGGAATCAGCACTTCTCAAGTGCACACAATCACACCCCACAGGCAACACAATGGTTACTGGTAGTCAGCGGTACACACATGTTGATACAGTAAGCCAGGAATCACCTTCCTTTCCGCGCTGGTCAGCGACTTTGAGCCATCTGTTGAACACCGGGAAAGATATGGGTCTCTTTTTTGGGGAACCAGCTTCTGGTTCGTTTTACAGGGAAGCTAAAAGGGAACGAACCATTTTGAGTCATTGAGGCTTCCCGCAGAAGGCATGATTTGCGCACACATGGGTAAAGGCGCCTCCGCCGAGGTGGGAGCCATACGCACGTGCTTGACATCATCGTCCTCTCCCGCAGAAGTGCCCAAAACCCTACGTTACGACACGCGCACGCGCAATTGCCTCGATCAGCTCCATCTTCACATGAGGCGTCGGAATCCTGCCATGAATATATTAGGCATGACGGTGTGACATATTGGGCATATCAAAAGCAGTCAGAACAACATGCTAGCACAAGCCAAAATATGCGGCTCCCGTCAAGAACATGGGAAGCTGGGAAAGTGAGTCCCCCCATGTTGCGACCGAATGTGTCCTGTCGCGGCTGCTTCGCATCTGCTGGTCTCCATCGGGTTTGATGTCGCTCTCAAACTCCTCTCATGTTTGTGCCAGAACACAATCTCTGGTTGCACGCAAAAGAAAACCAATGTGCTGCCCATCACTTGTGGGTTGGTGAGATGTCACGAACGGCTCAAATGGTTTCCTCGCTGTCACCGAACGCGACAGAACAGCGCTGCTTGGATGCCTGCATCTCAAAGCCAACCAATACACATACTAAGCGTACCATGGCAATACGCACTTCCCTCCCTCGCCTCTGTTCCATCGTCAAATTGCACCGCGCTCTTGGCCAGCTCGTCACCCTGCAAGAATCAGTGAATCGGGAGACTGCCATGCCAAAAACCTAAAACATGTTTATCGATTTCCCATGATGACTGCATTCTCACTGCGGCCTTGATGAATGGTGTTGGTATGCGATCTCTGCTGGGCCGACGCTCGCCCGCGACAGGCAGTGCCTCGCGGGAGCCGGTTTGTGCAAATATGGCGGGGCCTTCACGAAAGAAAGATCCGAAATCTCACCGGCCAGGTTAACGTCTACCATGACACTCTGAAACCTCGTGCTTAAAGATTACCATGCACTTACATGAGTTTAGTGAAGAGTTCGGCTTGTCAAAATGCAATATCTCGGCTCTGGGGTGCACTGCGGAGCGCACCCTTTTCTTGAGCCAAAACCACACGGAGTGCAATCAGCGCATTGGGCAATTATGACTATACATATCATGACTCCTCCTTGCTGGAAGAGCGTCTCTGTACACGCTCGCACAGCAATATAGGTAGCGGAGTCTGGCCAGGGACCTTAGCCTTCTAGTAGCTTAAGCTGTCCCTTGCTACGCTGGTTAAGGAAAACATAACCACACCTTCGCATGGTCTCAGACATCTGTACACCTGGAATGCTCTTTGTTAGAGCATCCGCCCTGTTGGACTTGCCAGGGGTATGCTCCACCCTCAGATGGTCCATGCTGACCCTTTCCTGCAACCACAGGAACCTCGTCTGGATGTGACGGGCCTTTCCCAGACCTGCCCGATTGACAGTTCCTTTTGCTGCAGTCGCATCTGATTGAATCAGCACCTGGGTCTCGACCGCAAAGTCCTCCAAGAGTGACTGTAGGCCTAGACCAACTGAACCTCCTTTGACAAGAGCATAATACTCCGACTCCCCAGTCGACAAAGCGATGGTCGACTGCACATTGCTGCTGTGCTTGAGCACATGCAACCCATACAGAGCAACCATGCCTGTTGTGGATCTCCTCGTTATTGCGTCTCCGGCATGATCGGAATCCACCTGGATTCGGAGCTTGCTCGGCTTGGCTTGCCGTGCAAAGACCTGACACACGTCCGGCTTCTTGATGAGGTAGCGACACAGTCGCTTCAAATCCTGCAAAGATGCCTCTGTAGGAGAAACCATCTTCCTCGCAAGATTCTTCACAGCGTGGCTGATGTCCAACCTGTCCTGTGACAGGTACGCTGCCCTCATCACGCATGAGCGATACAGGGAAGCCTGCTCTTTCGGTAGAGCTGGGCTCCGGGCTTCCTGCATCTGCAAATCCACGGACTTCTTCACGTCCGGTGTCTCCGCTCCCTTGGCATTCTCCATGCCAAGCTGCTGCACAAGCAAATCAACATGGCGTCGATCTGGCTCGATCAGGATCGCACTCGCTCCTTGATGTTGTTCACAACGAATGAGCCGGTTGAGAAAGTGGACCTCCTTGTGGTCTCCTTCCTCATCACCTATCGTCCCGAGCCATTTCAACTCGTAGGCACTGCGAAGCAAAGTATCTACTTCCTTCAGCGCCTCGGCGTCTCCTAACGCCATGAAATCATCTCCGTGCACCAGCACTCTTATTCCCAGTGTCGGGTGATAGAACACTGAGCCATTTGACTTTCCCCGGAGATATCCGGCTTTGATCAACAGCTGCGTGTAGTGCTGCTGCCATATGTTAGGGGCATCCTGTGTCCCGTACATCGACTTAGTCAAACGACCCACCATTCCCGGACTGGCGTCCTCGTCCGGCAACTGGATGTATATGCGGCGTTTGGGTACGCCATAGAAGTGGGCTCTTGATATATCCCAAAGTCCGATCTTGAGTGGTCGTCCTCCATGGGATACACGCTCAGTGGCCCATAGGCTACATAGCAGCCTCATAGCCTCTAAAGGCGGTGTTGACGAAAACAGCATGTTCTGAGGAATCCTTTCCTCTGGACTCTTCCGGGCCTTGATCTCCCGGACCACCAATCTCGACCTGAAGTTGGGATTGGCGGGGTCTCCCTTGTTGGTGTCTATCCAACGGGTGGTGATTGGACCCTTCCCGTTGGTCTCTCTGAGGCATTCCTCGAGCGGCACCTTCTCGTAAACCTCTTGCTTCCTAAGATAGTCCAACTCGAGCTGACGTGCCTCCCTGACTCGGTCTGGTGGCAAAAACCCACCATTCACGTCGTCCCAGTACTGCTCCACGTCTTCCGGCGTCACGAAGCTCTCCTCTGGGATTGGACCTGCAACTGCTGCGTCCAATGCACTCAACTGGCCACTCTCTACAAGGTGGCTCTTCAAAGTCTTCAGGACCGCTCGCACTAGCGCTGGCGGATAACGGGCCGCCGGTCTAGCGAGTCCTCCGATCAGGTGGATGTGCCGGTGCCATGGTTTCCCCGGCACATTGTTGGTGCATTCGCCCTCCAACAGTTGGGCCAAACCTGGATGGTTGGTCATCCAGCCAGTTTCTTTCCGCACATATCCTGTGCCCTGCAAACCCCTCCGGTCCGTAGCGACCATAGCCCATCTGCACATTGGGCCTCGGACAGTGTACACGTCCGGTCTCTCAGTGAGCTCACGGACCTCCGGGTCTTTCCAAGAGGTAGCACTCCACGGTGCCTCATGCAAGAAGAACCTACCTGCCTGCAACTGCTTCCTGTAGAACCTACAGGCGGTATGCAAATGAGCAACTGCTCTATCCATCTTCTCGCGCCTCTTGTCTGGGCTCACCCTGTACTTGTTGATGTTCTGGAGCTGGGAGAATTGGTCACAAGGTGGGCTCCCTGTGAGCAATGTCGGCTCGACCTCGTCCACATACTCCTCGAGCTCTCGGACGTCCTCAGTCTTGCTGAGATCCCAGTAGGAACCGTCCGGTTTCTGCTCCTCAAGGTCTACCGCAAAGCCCGGCCTCAAGCCATACTGCCCGGCTTGGGCCGTGAACCGCTTCGGGCTGTAGATCTCCATGATATCAACAGCGCCCATCTCCACGCACAGCTTGGTGATCTGCTCCAGCTCGACCGCGTTGATCTCCACCTCCTGAGCCAAAAACGCTCTCTCTACTTTCCGTCCAACCATGGACTTCAACATCCTCTTCAATCGACCCAGTTCAAGTCCACCCACGTCTGGGGGCTTGTCCGGGGTGTTTGAAGTCTCGGCGTCAGCCGCCGGTTGAGTCTCCGTTCGGAGTTCTTCAGGAGATACTGCGGGCTCTCGCTTCTCACCTTGCTTCTGCTGCGTCTTCTGCTTGGCTCCGGGCGCTATATACAGCGCTCCCGGTCTCTTGATCTGCGTGGTCGGCTTCGCCTTGCTCTTTGGGCTACTCGATGCTGGCGGGTCTGCTGCTGCTCTCTTGAGTTCAGCCCTCTTCGCGGGATCCTCCACATACTCCATCACTTGTCCAGGGTCTTGCCTAGATCCTACTCCGGCCTCAGCGGCCGGCTCTCCCATGGCCTCTTGGGCTGGGAGATCTGCTTCCACTCCTACTTCCGCGGTCTCCTCTCTTTTCCTTTTGTGAGCTTCGACACGGCGTCGTCCTTGCTCATCATCCATCATGAGACCGACGATTCTCGCTCGGCACATCTCAGTGTGCGGCAACTGAGTGGATTCCCCTAGTAGCACGCAAGTGCATCCAGGACATCCATCAGTAGGTTGGTACTTCTCCACATCTGCCTTACGGATGTAAATCCGTCGCTGCTGTGGCGGTGCCATAACAGGCACAACCTGAGGCGGAACCTCAACCCGGTCTTCACTGACCAGCAGGTCCTCCACTCCTTGAGCAGGAGTTCCCGGGGCCCTCTGCCCCGGCGTTCCCGGCGCTCGCACTGAGACCTCCCACGGGTAGCCTTTAAGGCTTTCCCATCCTTGTGGATTCCATTGATCTTCTTCTGGAAGTCGACGAACACCAGTGCCTCTCTTCACTCCTTCTGAGGTCACAACCAGCAAAGTGCCAGTCCTTCCGTGGTGACCTATGTACCTGCCTTCCTTGAGTGGCCTAGCTCCTTCTCCTACCTCACGGTAATACAACCGCTCTCCTATGGCGATTGCCGGCTTTCTCCATTCTCGGCCACACCTCCTTTGTTCCGGTGTCTTCCCGTCGGAACCTCTCTTGTACCTGCACATCAGGTCTGCTGCATGCCTTGGAAACCAAGACAGCACAGGGTCGTCATCCTTCAAGACTCGACCCAACTTCTCCTCCAGTGAGGATCGCAGGACTCTCACCTGCCTTTTGAGTTCTCGGCACAAGTTCTCGATTGCGCCATTCGCCCGGTGGTCAGCCACCGGCGACTCCTGTGGAACATTCTCCACTCCTGCTTCCTTGGCCGCCTGCTCCTTCAGGGCAACGATCGAATGCTCACCATCACTCTTGAAGACTGCACGACGGTAACCAAGATGCTTTATAAAGTTCGCCATGAATTTGACCGCATATGGCGTCGGTCCTTTTGCGTCCACGAAGGTGGCCGCAACGGCCAGTGTCCGACTGTCTCGGATCACCAGGATAGGCTTAGTCTTCCCATCCTCCTTTCCATCTCGCGTCATCCATGTGTAGTCGCACGAGATTGTCGCGAGCTCATCGCTCGCCTTGTCCTCTTCGGGTCGTGAGCGATGCTGCTGACCCAATCCTCTGCCGGCAAGACAATGCCGACACCAGTTGCGATACTGCACGTGACCTGTTGCCTCATGCTCCGCAACCTCGGCCCTCGATGGGCCTCCTGGTGCTCTCACCAGTGCGGGCGGCGCGATCTCGCCGCTCTCATCCATCTCATCACCCTCGGGCACACCTGCGGGTCGGCCCGCTGGTGCCTCTGGGTTCCCTTGTCCGGCACCCACGGCATCATCTGCCGCTGCAAGTGGTTTGGCCGGACTTACGCCTCGCTGGACTGCCGTCCAAAACCCGAACAATCTTCCGACTTCAAATAGAAGTTGTAAACTCCTTTCTCTTGGTATATGGGCAACCAAGTCTTCTTTTGGGCTTTACTGGGCTTGTTGAGCAACTGCTGAATTTTCCTTCCTGTCGCTGAGTCTGCTGGAATCAACTGTCCACCATTTTGATCAAGAACAGCCATCCTTCCATGGTTGAGGCATTTGTAAGCTGAAACCAACGGTTTGTGTACCGGTGCTAATGGCCCTGTGACTTTACACCTGGAACCTGTTTCACTCTTACCTTGAAACGTCCCGGTTCCGGTCCCAGGGACCAGTTCCCCCGATGCTGTCTTGAACATCATCTGGGCTCCTTCCTTAGTGGGGATGCGGTCTTTCCAATCCACTGGAATAGCAGTTTGAGCAGCCCCCGTATCAAGGTTGAACCGAACCCAGCTTGGGTCTTTCGGGGGCTCTCCCTGGGTGAATGCACCCAGCTCAAACATTCCCACTTCGGCCTCCGGTTGTTCTTCTTGGTCTCCAGCTTCGTAGTCGGCGTCCTCGAATCCTGCCACATGCTTCTGCTTGGAGCCAGACTTCCCTGAGCCTTTGGAACCTTTTCCATCCTTCTTCTTGCTCCAACACTCGGCCGCTCTATGGCCGGGCTTACCACAGTTGAAGCATGCTCCTGCGGGTCCTGAGCTGCCTGAACCACTGCCTTTACCTTTTCCTTTGCTGTCCTTACCTTTTCCTTTGCCTTTGCCTCCACCTTTGTCCTTTCCCTTACCTTTGCCTCCTTTCGAACCTTTCGAGCCTTTGACCAGCGAGTTGAGCACCTTCGTGATGGCGTCCACGTCCATCGGAGCGGGGCCTTGCCCCGATCTCGAAGCCCCACTGGACCCCGGTCGATGGATCGTCCCCTTGTCTCCCGTGACTGTTTCAATCAGAACCTCAATCTCCTGTTTCATTTCCTCGTAGGTTCCCAGCCGGTTCTTGTTCAGAATGAGGTGGCGCTCAATGTCGGTTGGAACCAGAAGTTCTAGGGACGTACACTTTATGTCCTGAGAGAGGATTTCCCTCTCGCCCCTTTCGTTCCTTCTGGCCTCATATCGGCGCATCAAATCATCTAGTTGTTCCATGGCCGGTCGAACTGCTTCCCAAGACTTAACTCTTTCGGGGTTGAGGATGGCCCTTAGGATGTTCCTCTTCCTACCTGCGGTGAGGGGGTCCCATCTCCTGTTAAGCCTTCGCCATGCCTCATACCCGTTCTTGGCATTGATGACCAGATCTTCGGACTCATGAGTAGTAAGGAATGACAACAACCTATACAGCTGGTCTCCCTTATCATCCAGTCCGGCCATTCCCAGTTCACCTCCATGTTCCTCTTCTACCTTTTCAACAGTGATCTCCTCATCCTGATCAACTACCCATTCAAGGATTGACTGGAAACTGGATCCAAAGATTGCCGTTGTGAGGTTCACCACAGACCGGGCCCATCTACGGAAGTGGCCGTCATCATTGGAGAAGACTTCCGGTTTTCCAATCCCTTTGGTGTCTATCAACAACTTCCTATCGCCTTTCTGCAGGCTTGTAGCTAACCTACCAAGGTTCTCTGCCAAAGCAGCTATACCTGCCTGGCCTTGCCTAAGAAGTTGATTCTCCTGTGACAACCGCTCAACTGCCTGCTGCAACTCTCGCACTGTTTCCTCCATGCCTTATATCCGGTGCCAAGCACCGGGAGGTCAGTCCGCCTTCCCGGACTCTTCTGTACTATAGTACGACCCCGAGCTCGATCCGCTTTTCGGCTCCGGCGCCGGTTGATCGTGAAGGTGAACACTGCCCTCGGTCTCGCTCAGGGGTGTAGCCGGCGACGGAGTCGGTGGCGGAGGTGGCGGCCGCTTCGGCCGAGCCAGCGAAACCTTCGGCTCGCTCTTGGGCTTCTCGATGTGGGCCTTCTCCTTGAGCACCCACTTCGGTCTTGGCGATGGAGGTGGTACCTTCGCCTCTATAGCCGCTTTTGCAGGAGGTGGCTTCACCTGAGGCTTCGCGATAGCTTCCGGTACTGACTTTGAGGTCGTTCCTACCGGTGCGCGCCTCCTTGTCGCCCCTTTTGCAATTGCTGCGGCCCTGGCCAACAATGATGGCCTCTGAAGGCGAGTCCTCTCGTCGCACGAGGAACACGGGTTCCCTAACCCGTCCAGTTGCAGCACACTCTGCTGGATGGCTTTGGCCACCGAGCCCGTTGCTCCGGCTCGGTATGCAGCTTCTGCCGATGCCGCCTTCCTGAGGCGGTAGTTCGAGGCCAGGTTCTGCTCGCTCGTCCCTTCACCGCGGGATGTCCTTGCCACCGCAAGCTCTTGTATGTCCCTGTGCACCGTAACCCGTCGGCCGAGAGCTTTGGCTGCCTCGGCGACCGGTGCCAGCAGCTCGGGCTCAGCGCCCGGTGAAGGCTCCTTTCCTTGGGCCTTTGTGAATCCCTTCGGCGGTGTCTTCGGAGCAGGGCTGGACTTAGGCGGGGACTTCGGTGGTGTCTTGGGCTGCACCCGGCGCCTCTTCCAGGGCGCCTGCCCGAAGTTCTCGATCTCCTCCTGGAGCTCCGCGGATGGCTCTTCCTGCTTCTTCTGCGCGAGCTTCAGGAGGCCTTTGAGGATCCTAAAGTGCCGACTGTTTTGGCTTCTCCTCTTGTCTTTGCCAGTCGCACTCTGCCACCACCGAGATCCTGACGACCTAGGCGTGTGAGCGACCTTGGGCTCGGGCTGGATCCTGCCCTCGCTGCCCCAATCGCCCCACACGCTCTCGTCCTCGCTCTGGCCCTTCTGCTCCAGGTCGAAGTCCGTGGCCTCGGGCTCAAACTGCTTCTTCTGCGGCGGGTGGAGGTCCTCCTTCTTGTCCTCGTTGGTGTATTGTTCCAGCTCCTCCTCCTTCTCCTCTGCCCGGCTTCCTCGAGCCGGTTCTGGGCCCCTGTGGCCACTTGGCAGAGCCTCTGGCTCTGAGGAGGGAGGAGATGCAGCCTGGGATCCTCCCCAGTCTGCTTCTGACTCAGCGGCAGGCTCAGCGGACAGGGTGTCTTCTTCTCCTTCACTCGGAGGGGCAACTAGCTCCGGCCTCTCCTTCGGCAGCTCTTCCGCTGCCCCGGTCTCCTCGACCGGCTCTGCGGCTTTGCCTTTGCCGCGAGCGGGCCGCCTCCACGGCGGCTCCTCCTTGTTGCTCTTGCCCCTGCCCTTCTTGCCCTTGCTCTTGCCCTTCTTGCCCTTGTTCTTGCCCTTGGGCCCCTCGTACGGCTTTCCAAACCAAATGGACCGTCGAGGCTCACCCGCTACCATCAAAATGCAATATCTCGGCTCTGGGGTGCACTGCGGAGCGCACCCTTTTCTTGAGCCAAAACCACACGGAGTGCAATCAGCGCATTGGGCAATTATGACTATACATATCATGAGCTTGGTGAGGTTACCTAAGATCGGGAGCAAAGTTGTTGGTCTTGTGTGCTACTCGGGTCGGATCCAAAGACATAAACTCAAGATTTGCTTGGAAGCACAAATCACCTGAATTCATGCTTTGATATCCAGCCAAAATCGGCCTGCGGATACTCAAACTCACAGTCTTGCATGTCATGCCTCCACGTCTGCATCAGGCACAATTCGAACGTGCTTGGCACCATCTTCCTGCACGAGGTCAGCTTATACATTGCTCCGGAGGGCTTTTGGAGGCTTAACACTTGGGCCTCAAGCGCGTCAAGCTTCACATGAGGGGTGGGCATCCTGGCGTCATCGAGGCAGCAAACAAGTGAAGCCGCCTGACCAGGTCCTTTCGCGGCTTGGCCGCAGCTGCTTGTCGGCGGAAATCTCACTTTGAATTTCCTGCGAACTCTGCCAGCCAAGACTCCCATGGACCTATGAAAGCCTACATTTCGCGGCATCCCAGTTCAAAAAGCAATGAGTCGGATCTTTTCTCGAAGGAGGCTCCAAGGCCGATCAATCGAGCCATGGGAGATGTGAAGAGTTTCAACATGGAACTTCTCAACATAATTTGGCCCAAGCTATTTCTACTGCGTTTGCGCCCTCGTTTTGTCTTCCCCTTCCCCTGCCTGAACGGCACCAAAGGTGGGTGCTCTTCTTGCTGGAGGTCTCTCTGGCGTGGCCTGCAGCTGTCCACCCTCAACAATCGGCCTAACTGTGTGCCCTAAGCCTCAAAATGCACAGCGCGCGCGTCCTCATATTCCTCCTGCAGGCAACCAAAGCAATCAGGCCAAGACTTGTTTCGAACTTTTAGGGTCATTTATAAAAATTTGCGCAATAGCGAAGTGTGGGAAAAGCAGATATTGTGCCGCTGTGGCCACAAGTTGCATCTAAAGCATACCATGTATTCTCTCGGTCCTTCATGAACGGTGTGGCAATTCGCTCCCTGGTCGATCGCCCTTCGCCGGAGACGGGAATTGCCTTCAACACACCCGTGGCTGATGGAGTTTTGGTTGCTGGATGCTGCATTTCTCAAGCTCCGCCTCCACGTCCGCGGCCGGAAAGATGCGGACAGTCTTGGCTGAGTTAGCAAACGTCTCCTGCAAGTTCAAGTTCCTTCTTGCTTTGTCGCGCTCCTTTCTAATGGCCTCCACCAGCTGCGAGCTGACATGCGGCGTTGGCATCCTCGCGGATGCATGCGGACAGTGCCAGCATTGAGCTTTGCAGAAAATCGCGCCACTTGGCGCTTGTCCTGTCGCGGCTGGATCGAAGTTGCTCTCTGTTGCTGTCGGCTTCGAATTCCTGCGAAACCAGGGAAGGTGACCATCTCCACACGGCAAAGGCAGCGAATGCGCTGCGCCACTGGCATCCTTACACCCAGTCCTCGATGCTCGACAGCACCGGAGCTAGAATCACTCTGCGATCCTGGCTGCAAAAGCAGTCAGGCATGTGAGATGGAACTTCGGAACGTCGCCTCTCCAGAGCCAGGTGCCACATATGGAGTTGCTATTCGGTCACGCACCGAGCGGTTTCCAACCTGAGACGGTGAGAAGGGGAGTTTCAGTGGCTCGAGTGGACTGGATGGAACACGAGTGGACTTTGGCCTTGCCTCCGGCACTGTCTCCGGGACTTCCGGCGACGTGACAGTGGTCACCGAGTCAGAGAACTGCACCGATGCCTGGGCAGAGTCTGACCCATCTGTATGTGTACGTCTTGCAGCGGGAATGGAGGGGCTCTGAACAAACACAAAAAAATCGGGGTGTTGCACGATCGTTCTCAGCTCTCTCTAGGGGCGTGACCTCTGACTCAGACAGCCCGCCAGCCTGCAGAGCTAATCACACTCCACTGTGGCCAAAGCCGAGATGCACAATTGAAGTCTCAATATGGTCTATAGTCTAAGAGTCTATAGTGGGCATTGCCGCATGACAGTGTGCTCACCTGGGGCCCTGGGGCTCAGGGTGGCCAGCCTGGGAGGCCCAGGGAGTGGGCACTCGATCACGGGAAGAGCGAAGTGTGGAGCTGGGGCCTGGGGCTCTCGGGGCTCTCGGACTCGGCACCGAGCGAAGGAGCGAAGCGGGGGCTGAACTGGTCCCGTGCTCGGTCTCGCTTCCCTCGCTTCCCTCGCGCTCTCCGGGAGCAGGACCCATTGGCGACTCAGTCACACTCGGAGGCTCGGCAGAGAGTCTGGCCAAGGGCCTCGGATCGACCATCAGAGCGCAAGGTTGAAGGAGGCGAGCAGTGCCTGCGGCTGCTCGAAGCGGCCTGTGGGGCAGAGGGCGGTCAAGACACACCAGCCAGCCAGCCAGCCAGTCAGCCAAGCAAGGTGCTAGACATGAGCAGACCGCCTCCGCTCCATCTGAAGTGGGCCCTGGGCAAACTCTCAGTCAGTTTAGTCAGTTTCTCACCATTGAGTTGGTGCCTTCGCCGTCGGCAGAGAACTGCCGCAGCTCTTGCTCAAGCTCATCCAAACGCCTAGCACGCGGGACATTCCGAGAGAAGGACGTGCCGGAGTTGACCTTCTCATCATCACGCATTCATCTTCATGACGATCTGAATCCTAGGCCAATTCACTTCAGCACAGTTCTTGTGGCAGATATCTGCCTCCCCGCTGTCGGAGCCATCGGCCGACTCTTCATGACGTTCATGCGCTCGGTTGCAAACCTTGCCGCGCACAAAACATTCTGGCAGTTACTGGCCGGCGAGGCTCCAACCCAACATGCATAGCGATCTTTGGACTCGATGGACATCTTCAATTGTTTCACCTCAGCTCCGTTTGGGCAGTTCAATGCACTTTCTGCGACGGAGCGGCACAGAAGCTTTCAGCTTCTCCTTTTCATGGTCAACTGCCGGAGCCGAATTGTTCTGCTCCTGTGGCACCGAATAGCCCATACACAATGCAGAAGCCTCCAAATCTGACTTCCTGAAAGCTCAATGCTGGTGGGTTGGCAACTCATCGATCCAACTCACAAAAGACCAAACCCAGAATGTCCTGAATCTCGTCTTGCAGTTTCTTGACCTGCTCCTGCAGGAAGAACGGCTCAAACTCAGCACTGACTCGGAAGCAAATGCCAGAATCAAAGAGAACACAAAAGAAAAGGTGCCAGCAAATCCACTGTGTTTTCACCCGTCCACCAGTCCTCCAAGTAGTGTTTTTCTGCAAGCCTCCGTTCCCGCTCCGTCCGAACCTGCTTAGCGGAAAGCGGCGCCCCGTAGCGCAAGTGGCCCATGCCTCGTCGAGGAGCTGTTGGGCTGCTAGGTGGCCCTGAACAAGACCCATGCCAGTGCCAGAGAGGAGCTTGGATCGGTCCAATGAGTTGCTCCCTGAACAAAAATCCACCAATGCCCAACCCCTACGTCATTTTGCCTGGGCAGCCGGAGGCGACTCGGTGAAGAGGGCGTTGCGTACCTCCTTCATAGCCTCGCCGAAGGGCAAACAAACAAGACGTCGGGACGTGCGCCACCCGCCGTGCCTTTTTCAGCTTGCCAACTTCGAGGTTCCTACGCTTCTTTTGTCGCTCCATGAGATGAACCTGGCGCAAAGATCAAAACCTTCACCGATCAATGATCAGTTTACTTCGAAAGCACAAGTGAGGGGTGTTGACCGAGTGCCCTGAGGAAGCTTCTGTCGCTTTGGGACCATCTGTGTCCCGCCTGCTGTCGCAGAATCTCCACATCTTGCCGCACCCACCTCAAACAAGCAAAGCCATCCAAACAGTGCACCGGACAGAAAGTACTGACAAAGGAACAGGCGATGATTGGCCATTCTCCGACAGCTGAGAAAGTGTGACCTGCATGTCAGAAAGCTCAATGCTGATCCACTAACTGCACACACAAACACATTCCTTGGGGTAGCCAAGTGTCAGACCAGGCACATCTGTCATTCAGCTTGCCTCGTACTCGCGCAAGTGATGGCTGAAGGTGGCTCGCAGCTTCGCAATTTCTTCGAGCAAAACCTGCCGCATCACCAATTCAGATCTAGTCCCATCTTCATGATTCTGAATCCAAGGATTGGTAAGCCAGCTCAAAAACCTTTTTGCGTCTGTAGCAAACATGTGAATGCCTCGTTGATCATCTGATCCAAGTTCTCTGATTGCCAAGCTTGGTCCTCCGTGCACGCGCATCCACGTTCTCAACTCGAATGGGCATCTCGTTGCATGCGCCAGCCAACTTGACCCCCATTCTCTCCGGTGCCTGAAGGCTCAGCGGAGTGGGTGGCCTGGCAGCTGGCGCAAGCTGGCTGTTTCTCTGGCCCAGCTGCGCATTGTGCAGATTTAGGCTGATTTAGTTGCCTTACTCTGCTTGAGGGTGGATTCGGGCTGGTATTGCGCAGGCTCACAGCTTTGAGTTTAAGTTGATTTGGGCTCACTCTATCTGAAGCTATATTTGTGTGCTTCCAAACTATGCTGTGCAAATGATAGCAAAACAAACATTCTGGACAGGACAAAACAACACGTTTCCAGCTCTGCATGCGCAGGACACCCAAATACAAAAAAATGGCTCGAGTGTTTCAGCACCCGAACACGTACGGTCCAGTCAGCAGATCAAA